ACCCGCAGTCAGCTCGGAGGAGGCGCAGTGCGAGTGCTCATCCCCGCTCGCACACGTCCCCCCATCTCCACCGCTGATCCGCTCCCAGCCGGGAGGGACCCCCACCACCCACCCTGCCATACGGTTGTGACGCCCAGATTGTGCAGAATTACTCCTGGCCAGAGATGCCTCGGTGAGGCCAGGTTTGTTTTGGGGAAGTTAGTTCCTCTGGCCACCTCTCCTTGCCTCCCCCCAAGCAGAAGGTATCACCAGCACCTTACCTGTCTCAGGTAGAGCTTCAAGACGTTGCTGATATCATGAGGGGAGGCCTGGGACAGCTCCACCAGCTCTTTCCCATTCTCAAATGCCTGGCAAAGCTTCTCCACCCGGGTCTTGACGCCATTAACTCGGTAGATGCCCTGTAAAAGAGAGAAAAGTGGAATTGAAATGGGGGGAGATGCTTCTCCTTGTGTTTGCATGAGACAGTGGGCTTCTAGCTCCCACCCCCTCCTTTTTTGAGGCTGGAAATCCCTCTCAGAAGTTATTCTGGGACCTCCCCTTCCAGCTCGGATGTTACTGTCACTCCTGTTTCATAGGAAAGAAGGAGGCAAGAGAAGTGATTTTTTGAGGTCAGAGTTTGGGGTATCAGGGCCAGTTTATCATCTGGGACTTTCTGGCTTCCTGCCTCCAGTAATCTGAAAAACGAGACTGTTGGTTTTCATGCCAAGGCAGAAGAACATTTCAAGAGAAGGCAGCTGAGCCAGCTTAGCTGAAGAAGGAGGAAGAGTGCGTCACCTTGGTTTTCAGTGCCCGCTTCTCAATCTCAGAAACACACTTCTTGATGATGAAGGGGATGCCGTCTGAGCTACTCTGAGAAGCCTTTGTGAAGTCTTGCCCAAAAAGCTGCAGCTTCCCTTGGAGTTTCTTGTGCCCGCACTGGATGGCCAAGGTTTCCAGACACTTCTTGTGGCAGGCCAGGTAGCACTGGAAAACACAGGGAAATGCGTGGAGGTGGGAGCCAGCACCATGGGTTAGGTGGAAGGGCAGCCACTGAGACACGCTGGGCATCGCTCGGAGAACGAGGAGCTGGTTGAGCAGGACGGCAGACAGGAAAAATGCCTTTCTTGGAGACACCGCAGGACCAACGCAAAGCACATGGACCCCTCCCCAAAGAGGCACAAGGCAGACGTTTCGAGCAGCGTGTTCCCCGCAGCTGCTGTTGGTCAAGTCACTGGGGATCGCGTCTTGTGAACAGCGCAGCCACCCCGGCTCTGCGCGGCGTCGAGCCCTCCGTAGCCCTGGGAACGATTGACCTGTCTCAGAGGGACAGACCCCAAGCCATGACGGAGCATGAAGCAGTCCTAGAACAGGGGGAAAAAAAGCAGTAGCAGCCGGGAATGTCTTCCTAAACGCATGTTAGAGCTGTGCTAAGGTAGGCCTGCCCCAAAGTTCATGCTGGCATGTCTTCTTCCACAGGAAGCTTAGACCTCCCGGCTGGGGTTACACCCATGGTTTGTACCACATGTGTGGTCAGGGCTCCTGGCCGGGTTTCTACAGCAAACCTGTGATACCCACATGAAAAGCTGCACCACAATATGCTGCTGCGGAGCGTGTGGCTCTCATATGAGGACAGAGTGAATCACAGGACCGAGTCCGGGCAGGTAGCGGTGAGGTCACCCCATTCATGGGGCATATCCTCCGTCTGTTCCACCCGCCGAGCGCTCTTCCCACTTCTCCCAACTTTACCTCCTCGCATTCTGCTCCCTGGAAGTAAACGTAGCTGTTGCACTCCCGACACTTGGAAGGGGTACGGAGCTTCCTCAGCCGATGAGTCTGGGCAGCCTTGGATAAGCCAACGTTTCGGAAGGGCCCTGTTGGAGCCGTCATCTCTGGTGTGATCCCATTGATGCCTACGAGCAGAACGAAAAGAAATTCAGCTGCGTCCTGGCTCCTGAGGAGGCAGGGTTAAGCAAAGCTCGAGCAGAGGGGTCACTGTCACAGAGCAGACAACCAGCTGGATGCACTAGGTCTTTAGCAACGTTGCAAATAACCTGTACGCTGAGGTGTACAGCCCTAGCTCATCTGTTCCCACCGGTCTGAGCAGAGCTCATCCCTTGGTAAAGCAAATGCTGTTGGGCTCCTCATGGGGTCACCATCAGGTATCCTCCAAGCAATTGTTCACTTTACCTCCAGAACTACTGAATTTGGGAAAAGTCAACCTGCTGTTAGCTTTGCCATGGGCTGCGGGTGCACAGCGGGAGCACTGTGGCACCTCCCATGCTGTCACGTACTCTGCTCAAAGGGGGTTGCGTTCTCATCCTTCTCTTCCAGCTCTTCGCTGGACGACATGGTGCCGTTGGAAGACAACCGCTGGAGTTTATGGCTGAATTCACCTGCCCAAAGAAAACGCAAAAGCCAGTGAGATTACCGGCAAAGTTGGTTCTCTTCTGAGTGTGCTCTGATGCTCGTGGCTGATTCCCACAGCAAGCAGTCGTGTGCCTTGCGCGGCTGGGTCAGCTCTGTCTGGAGAAAATGAGAAACTGGGAGCTAGCAAGGGCTGTGCGTGCCCGTAGAGTGCCTCGCAGTGAAGCAGGCTGCAGCCAGAGTAGCGTGAAGGCTCAGTGGTCCCTCATCCCATCCCATCCCAGATTGGGATCAGAGCAGTTATTTACAACCCAGCGTTATTACAAGGCAGATAAAAAAGAGAAGTGACGGATCCCGCCTGACTCCGATGCTCTGGTTTTAGGCTGACTATTAGAAGGGGAAGGACTGCCTGCCCTGGGCTGTTTTCAGTATCTACCTGCATTTGAATCCAGGCTGCTGTCAGCTTCACTGATAGAGGTTGGCCAGGATTTGTGGACCTGGTGTCCCCTCCCACCTGCAGAAGAAAACACATAGTCTGTTTGAGATCGCTTCCTGCGTTCAGGAGAGAAACACGGGAGAAGAGCCTAGACTCTGGGAGACAAACTACTGAAGGAAGCTGCTTGGCTCCCTGTTGACAGGCTGGTGAAGGGGCTGGTGGGGTTGTGATGCCTTCAGTAACACAGCAAGGGAAATGCGACGGGAAGATGGAGAAGGGTCTTCTGTTAGGTAGCACTAACAAAAGCAAAAAACCCCTATGGATCTGATTTTGTGTCCTTTGGGAAATTCAGCTTGCAAGGCTTTCCAGCCTGTCCTACTGCTGCAAAGAGAAGCCCCGCCTCGGTACCCATGGAGGTCCTGCTTCGCTCCTGACCCAGGGCAGGACACAGCCTGCCGCGAGCGGTGCCGTGGGGACGGCGAGGCAGGGGCTCCTCTCCGCTCCGGGCTCACCTCTCCGCTCAGCCGCCACAGCCCCGCTTTGCTGCTCCTTGGCTCCTGCTCCTCCTTCCGAGACGGTCCCGTCCTTGGGCAGCCCGGCTCCGTCAGAGCCGGCATTCATTGAGAAGTCATTGGCGTTGAAGCTGCCTTTCCGTGTCCGAGTAAAGGGGGACCTGGCAGGCAGAAAGGAGGAGAAAAGGGAATGGCTGAGTGGATGAGAAGGAAGGACGCTTGAAAACTTTATTCACGGCTGCTATCCATCTGTCTTGGGATTTACAGTCCTCTGTCTTAGATACCAGATAGCCTGTCTCATCCATCGGAGGATGTGAGAGGAATTCCCAGCTGCTCCAGCCCCAGCTTTCCCAGCAGGAGCTGCCTTCAGGGACACTGAAAGCGTGCTGGTTTCTGCGGGGGAGCATAGTGCTAGCCCAGGGGAAGGTTGCCAGCGACAGAGAAGACGAGTGGAAACCAGGAATGATTTCTCCCTCTCCTTTCCTACCAGGCGTTGTGTGACACGTAGGGCTCAAAGTCGTACTGGATGTCAGGTTCGTCTCCTCGCTGCAGCTGCTTGACGTGAGAGGCGTATTGCTGCCCGGGGTCGTAGAGCTTGCTGCTCTCGCACAGTGTCTGGAAGTTGACGGGCAGCGGAGCCGTCTGCATGTGCATGATCTGGTAGAAGGAGATTGTGGCCTAAAAATAATGTAGAGAAAATCAGACGTGAGCTTTGTGAGGTGACGTACAAGGAAGACGGAGGCAAGGAGCTCCAGGTTAGATGAGAAATCAGGAGCACAGAGCGGTGCTTGGTCTGCAGCCTTGAGCCTTGGCTTTTCAGAGCACAAGGGAGTGAAGAGAGCTCTACATCCACCCGGACCTCATCTGAAATAGGAGCAGCTAAGCCAGGTCTGCTGGGGAGGCAGCTCTGAACCTCTCCTGAGCAGGGTACGGCCACCCCCCTGCCCTGGGGGCCATCCCAAGCAAGCCCCACTCACCGTCTTGATGACCTGGTCACTCTGTTTGATCACTTCGTGGATCTGCCGCAAGGAGTTCACCTTGGTATCCTCCAACTCCTGCTTCTGGGTATTTGCATCCGCAACGCAGGTCCGATACGTGGCCATCGCCTCTTCTGCCTGAGAGTTGGGAGAGCAAGAGGTGGAAACAGTTCATCGGTAAGGAGAACAGCTCTCTGCACTTGGACCCTGCTCCTCTAGGCACTCCTG